TCAAGTGAGACCAGAGAAGAGCAGGGCAGTTTCAAACAGCAGCACCACCAGGTCCCTGACAGCTTTTTTATTTTTGTCTGCTTTAGCCATCTGATACAGGGGCTACACAATGGGATTGTCAGGATTGATCTCTAGGTGCTTTTTGGCCATCATGTAGCCCATTTGTAGAGTTGTCTTGAAGTACCTGGGACTTCATGATCCAATCCATGTTGACTGTCCAGCCATAGGTGCATGTTATATTTACACAGGGTGATGACGAACTACTGGAGATTGTCACCTTCTCACGCTTCTTATACAAGAAGTCTTTCATGAGTTTGCAGAGATTCTCAAACTTTGCCTTGCTCTCTCCATTCCATTCTCTTCCTCATACTCTATATCTCCATGTCCTCCTTAGTCACTGCTGTTGGATAATCTTTCAGTATGCTGTGAACATATATTCCTCTCATTAGTTAATAAAGGAACTTGTTTGTCCTACAGCAAGTCAGGATAAGGCCATTTGGGAAAACCAATCTGAAAATACAGAGAGGAGAAGGGCAGAGTCAGAGAGAGGTGTGAACCAGCCTCCAGGAAAGCAAGATGTGCTAGAGAACAGGTAAAGCCATACAGCTACAAGGCAAAATGTAGATTAATAAAAAATGAGTTAATTTAAGTTGTAAGAGCTAGTTCTTAATAATCCTGAACTATAGGCCAAACTTTCTGTAATTAATACAAGCTTTTGTGTGATTATTTGGGAGGTGGAAGCAGGGACGAAAGAAAAGCTCCACTTATGTTTACAAGTCACCAAGACCAGGCTCTTTCTATAAAACACCCTGAGTTACTGCACACAGTACTAGTCAGTAGGCTCAGTCATATACACCACCTCAAAGCCCTGCTTCTGCACATACTCTACAAAGGCAGCATTGACCACCTACCTGCTCTTTGCTCTCACTGGTGATACAGTAGATGGATTTCTGTGTCTCTTTCACTTGAGACATATACTCTGATAGGGAGGTCATCTCATCTTCAGACTGAGAGGGGGTGATAGCAGAGGAGCTCAGAGAGGCACTAACAGTTCATGGTCTTCATGGATTCAAAGCTTTACATTTTTTTTTCTCCTTTTTTATTTAAATTAGAAACAAGTTTGTTTTACATGTCAATCCCAGTTCCCTCTCCCTCCCCTCCTTCCCTGACTCCCACAGACCCCCTATGCCACCCCCTTTCTGCTCCCCAGGGAGGTTAAGGCCTTCCATGGGGGATCTTCAAAGTCTGTCACATCATTTGGAGCAGGGTCTAGGCCCTTCCCCATGTGTCTAGACTGAGAGAGTATCCCTCTATGTGGAATGGGCTCCCAAAGTCCATTTGTGTACTGGGGTGAATACTGATTCACGACCAGAGGCCCCACAGATTGCCCAGACCTCCTAGCTGACACCCATGTTCAGGGGTTCTGGATCAGTCCTATGCTGGTTTCCCAGCTATCAGTCTGGGGTACATGAGCTCTTCCTTGTTCAGGACCAAAGCTTTAAATTCTTGGACAATGCCTCATAAAATGTCTTGTAGTTCTCTTTGTCTTCAGCCAGCTCAGAGAAGAGCTCAAGGCACTTCTTCACAGTGTTTTTGCAGATCGGTTTCAGGATCTTGCTCTGCTGGAGAACTTCTTGGGAGATGTTCAGGGACTTTTGTAGATGGCTTTCAGGATCTTGCTCTGCTGGAGAACTTTTTGGGAGATGTTCAGGGACAAATCCTTGAAGTCAACCATGTCATGGATAAAGTTGAGGTGCTCAGGTATCAGCTCATCACAGCTGCCCATGATGAATGAACACATGATGGACATACAGTTTGATGTTGTTCTTCATGGTCTCTAAAAGGTAAAAGGGAGCTTGCCAAGGAATAAAGAGCAATGCTCTGAACTCCACCTGACCTTCTACAGAGAAGTGCTTGACTGCCAAATGGTCTTCCCAATCATTGGTGAGGCTCTTATAGAATTCCCCATATTCCTCTTGAGTGATGTGAACAGGATTTTTGTTAGCAATGGCTTATTCTTCTTATTCAACTCTTCCTGATCAATGTATTTATCCTTAATCATCTTCATTTTATTCTTTATTTTGCCACTGTCATCTTCTTTATCTGATCCCACATCTTCAGTCTTAGGCTTCTTGTCACCCTTAGCTTCCTCCTCTTTCTCACCATTGTCTTTCTCTGGCTCACCATCTCTGTTCTCATTCTCTCGTTCCTTCTCCAAATAGAGGGTAATGAGAAAGCCTATGAACTGTGAGTGATTCTTTACTACTTTCTTGACCCACTCCCTAAAGATTCTGTCTGGTCTTCTTTGAGGTGTAGGATCACTTTGGTACCCCAGCCAATGAGCTCATTGTAGTCTGCACAAACAATCCAGGATACACCAGCAGAAGACTTCCAGGCTTACTACTCATCTTCATTGTGCTTTGTGACCACAACCACTTTCTCTGCCTCTAGGTAGGCTGAATAGAATCCAACACCAAAATGTACAATCATGGAGATGTCTTCACCAACCTGGAGAACCTCCATATACATTTTTGTACCAGACAGTGGTTCTCAATTTATTTATGAAGTCAGCTTTGACCATGCCAATGTCTGTGTGTATCTAAGTCACCATGTGCTCTTCACAAGTGTCTAACTTGGAAGAGTCTGTTAGGTTCTCATAGCTAATCTTGTCCCAATCATCAGAAGCATTAGAGATCAACTCCTGAGGGAAATTTTCCTTGTTTGAATAGAGTATTGGTGATACAGGACTTGAGCTGGTGCACTTCCTTGGGCATCTTGATGGGAAAGCCAAACAGTAGTATAGAACAGGGTGGACCCACACATCAAGCATTGCTCTCTTCCTTTTCTTGGTTCACGTTAAGGGTCAGGGTCACAGTTCTAGGAAGTCCTCCCCCCCAGCACACACATAATCATAGTTGATTACACCACTGCCTAAAGCACCTTATCTTCCCTTTGCTTCCTGTTGAGGCTCTTGCCCAGCCACTTCTCCTTATTCTATCTCAATTTCAGTATTTGTTTACTCTTGATCATTTATAATACAATCTCCTTTGGTGATCCTATTACATGCAAGATAACACCATATAATCATTTAATAATTTTTTCTATAAAATTCTCTACAAAATCTTAGAGTGCATAGAAGGAAACTTTTTTGCAAGTAACAGATGTATCTTTTCATTCCTGTGTTCCCAGGACCTAGTACAATGCCTCATCCATAGGATGAATTCTTTTAAAATTAATTTGTAAATAATGAAAACAGTGTTCTGATTATTGGTCTTATAAAGGACTGAAGCTAATATATTCCAATAGCAAGAAACCCATTCGCATTTCCTTGTCAGGCAATATACTTTTCAAAGGGAGAGGGGGCAAAGGAGGTGACTTTTATTAAAATGTACTTGACACTGAGAAATGAAAACAAAGTAAAGGAAGTTTACCTGAAGTATATTTTCATAAATTCATGAGAAAGTCTGATTTATGGAAGGCTTAGACCCAGCCCGTGTGTGTGTGTGTGTGTGTGTGTGTGTGTGTGTGTGTGTGTTGGAAAATTCCTTCACTTTCCCAATACTTCCTGACCATCTAGTTTTGACCTAGAAAATAAGAAGGACAATGATGACCAGATGAATAATCTAATTTAAGGTTAAAAAAAAAAGGCAGACACATTCATGAAAAAGAAAGTTCTACAATTAATTCACAGCCAGGAAGATGTAAATGATTTCCCTTTTACAACAAGATGTTGCTTTAAGAAGGAACTGGGGCTGTTTTAAGTGCATGAAATCCACAAGTAGAAATAAACCCAACAGCATGAGCAAAAGCATCCATTCTGTAAAGGCACAGGGAATGAGCCATGGCGACTGCCACAGGGCTACACTGAACAGCTCCAGCCATCCAATCACTGTAACACCGTGTCAGTGTGAGGCCCTTGTAATCTCCAGAGATGGGGCGATGATACTGAGGCCTTCAATTTGCTGCTAGAAGAAAGAATTTGCTGCAAGGGAAGAAGTCAATGGATCCAAGCGTTTGATGTATTGAGAAACAAGGAACCAACTGTGGCCAGCACTTTTGTCATTCTGCAGGAGAGGTAAAAATCAGAAACTTGCGATTACACACTGCTGGTGGCATTCTAACTGAAAAGGTCTCTTGCTGTGAGAGTTACTAAGTGCCTCTTCCCTGAGAATACATGTGACCCAAGTGATAAGCCAACCTTTCAGGCACTTGTCTCTCTTTAAGGAGACAGTGTTGGGGAGGGGGGTACCAAGTTTGACTACTCAGAAATAAGACCAGAAGGAGTGAAAGCTTTCTTACTCTGTACTTACTAAACTTACTCTGTTTTTGCAAATGGGAAGGCAAAGTTAGAATAATGGTGAGACTTAGAACATGCATGGACACACACACACACACACACACACACACACACACACACGCGTGTGTGTGTGTGTGTGTGTGTGTGTGTGTGTGTGTGTCTGCCCAAACACTCGAGCAGGCACGCACTCAGGCGAGCCTGTGTTGGAGGAGACGTGTGTAGCTTCAATAAAACAGTGATGGGGAATGTACTGTGTACGTTTATCTTATTGATTGCTAAATAAAATACTGTTAGGCCAATGAGACAGCAAGTTAGACGGGACTGGGAGTCAAAAAGGATTCTGGGAAATGTAGTAGAGAAGTGGTGATCCAGGCAGGAAGTGACATAGCAAGGAGACTCATATTTAAGAGAAGGAGACACAGGAAGGGTCCCTTTTCCACTTGCTCCTGCAGCAGCACAATGTGATCCACCGACAAGGAGGGACGCCAATAAGGCATCCGATAAGATAAGTCTTATAAAATATGTAGATTTATGATAATTAAGACTGAGCTAACAGATGAGGAATCCTAGTCATTGGCCAAGCAGCTCTGAACTTAATACAAGTTTCTGTGTATTCATTTGAGCCTAACTCGGGCAGGCGGCTGGCATAAAGCGCACACTTAGCTGTGTGGCTCGGGCAGCTTTTGGCGGACAGATTTATCATAACAAAACAGTGTCAAAAGTAGGATGAATTGTGAATGTACTCAATGTTATTTTTAAGTACAGACAGTTTTTTGAGGGGGCCATGTCTCTATGGGAGGTGGACTGAAAACATGAACAGGTTTACAATACATTGGTCCTCCCTAGCTACAGTGTTTCTCTCTGGGCTCAATTGTCCACTGTCAATCATGGTATAGAAAATATCAAGAGGAAAATTTCAAGAAAAGGGAGAAAATGATTATGTAACTGTTACTATATTATTATAATTCTTCCATGTGAATACTAGTTAGTATTGTTAATTTTTTGCCAGTCTAATTTATCAATTTAACTAAGTATGGTTAAGAAGTAAATGACATAGTAGATATGAGATTTGCTACTATCAATGATTTCTAATAGAGGATTTAGAATTTATTCTCATGGATGAGAGGGAACATATATGACAGGCCATGATCTCTGCTCTTGGAGAGTTACAGTGTGTGTTCAGTTAGGAGAAAAGCTTGACTAAATGGGTCATTCCTGGAGCGACAGGTAAAAACAGCAAGTCCCAAAACTGTGTGGCTATGCAAAGGTGATGCAGATTTTAAAGAGAATAGAAAGGACTAGGGAAAATATCCTTCCTAACAAAGTTAGCAAAAAGAGCTGAACTTCATTACATGGGCAGAAAGATGCAAGTGTTCCACTGTGTGCACAATGGTGGGAATAAAGAGAGTGCCATATCCCAGTGCACTATATTATATCATATGGTATCTATAAGTCTTTATAAATGGCCTTCCATGATAGTCTAAGAAAGGAAGGAGTAGAAGTAGCAGGCTTTGGACTGAATTTCATTCCAGCTCTGCCCTTTAAAAGTTTTAAAACCCAAATTCTTCATTTGTTTATTAGGGTTAAAGCATTATTGTTTTGGGATCAAGTGCCATTAACATTGTTGAACTTTCACATAGTGATTAGCATATGGGATATTTTTAAATGATGATGTCATCATCAACAACCAAAATCAGAGCCATCATTAGCAGCCACAGAGATAAGACTTAGATTTGATTAAACCAGTAAGTTCTGCATTACATTACACATACATATACGCTTGCATTTGAAGAACCGGACACTTAGTTGTGAAGGAAAAGCTAGAGTTTCAAGTTGGTTGTTCAAGTCCCTGTTAGAAATACACATAGTAGCCAGTGTACCAGTGAAGATCATCTTCCCAGTGAACTCATTTAGGAAAACTTTTGTGGTGACTCTCTTATGAGATGCCCACACTGTCTTCCATACAACTGTCCTTTGCTTTTCTCTACCTCCTCCCAACACCATTGCTTAAATCTATATTCAACTTTCTCTTAGTATACCCCGTGCTTGCTTGCTCCCCTACAAATACTTATTTTTTTCTAAGAACAATATTTCTGAAAATGTTGATGGAAAAGTTGCGTCCCCTTCAACTCAAGCTCAACATTGCTGAAGTTTCTGGGTAAGCAATCCTTCATAGACAGTAACTAACTCACTTGTCAATATACTATTCCATTTCACTGGATTCATCATTGGCTTTATTGTTCCAAACTTGGAAACCTAACGTAAAATTATGAAATAGAAAAAAATCATAGTGCAAGACATAAATGTTTCTAATGCTTTCCAAAACTTCCTGACATTTTACTTAATGAGTTTTATCCAGCATGGGGAAAAGTTAATGATTTTCTGTGATACTTGATAATCATGGTATTCCAGAAACACTGTAGAAGAGAGCTTCTGTTTCTATATCTGTATCTATTCCTGAGTCAAGCAATTCCCTTCCTAGAAATCTACTTTTGGTCTCCTTTTGTTCCAGGAGGAAGGGGGAGCATAGCAGGGAAACCCAGAATAGGAGAAGAAAGGCCATGGGCGAGCTGCAGGTCACCTGAGTCTAAAGATAGTCTGGAAGAGGCCATATGATGAGAACTTAAGACAGCTCTCTGGAACCTATGCAAGAGCAAGCCCTAAGCAGTTTCACTTCCCCCCAGCAAAGCCTAGCCCTGGCCTTGTGGCCTGAGCCCTGGGGCTGCATTTCCGGAAACCTAGGGCCACAGTCCCCAGGGTGGGAAGCAAACTGCAGTGCCACGAACCAGAAGAGCTCAAAGTCTGCAGGGGACGTTGCGAGCAGGGAGCCACCAAGGCAGTTCTCAAGCCTCTGGCTCCAGCCGCCAGCAATGTTTCCTGTGGCTACCGGCACTAGGGGCAGCAGCCAGGACCTGCTCACTGCTGGCCCAGCGCCTCCAGGTGGGTGGCCTTGCGTTTGCCAGGGCTGTGGGTTGGAGGGTTCAAGATGACCCTGGGGCCCTGCTGAAGCTAAGGGCTACCAGTACGGTTTATTCCGGGGCCACCAAGATCAGGGCATCTTTAAACCAGGCTTCTCTGTTTTCCCCACCCCTGGACTCCTCCCTCAAGTGGGTGCCTGGCTGGAGGAGTCTGAAACCCAGAGGGTGGGGGTACACTTCCATTTCCAGCAGCTTCCAACACCTGCCCGTGCCGCTTCTTCAGAGCTAGAACTTTCCTGAGCACTCCCGGCAGTGTCTGGTCCTTTCTAAAATCATTTTACACATAGCCTTGAAGCTATATCTCATCCAGCATGTATTTACATGGAGGAAAAAGCCTCTTTTGTAACACCCCCTTGTCCATTCACCTGCCTCATGTCAATCTGTATAAAACCACCTCCCTGGAGCCGGGAACTCCTAACTGAGGAAAAGGAGTCACTTCGGTTGAACATGTCAGTGAGTGTGCACTTTCAAATGAATGTTAAGGTGGTTGCTTTGGGTTCCTTTTGGTTTTATTTTCAGATGCATTTGTGAGTCCTATAATAAGCACTAAAAGCTGTTAGCTTTGGCGAAGAAATTTTACTGGAATATCAATATTATAGGAAATGTTCCCAATGAGACATGTAGCAAGAAAATATAGCCTGAAATTCTTTTAATGTCCCAAGCAGAATTAAATTTGCTCCTAGCCTTTTTTAGGTAGTATGATTATTGACTTCAGTTGCTTTAGGGTATTATACACTTTTAATAAATGTGAACAGTTGCTTTTCAGTTACAATGGGAAATGGATTAGAATAGCAGAAGATGACCTGAGATGAGTTAGAGCCAGTGATGCAGGGTCACCGTGCCGTTTTAAGGCTGGACACTGACATCTTCAGTACTGTACAGCTTGAGGTCTGGGGCAAAGCAGCCTCTGCAAGCAAATGCACAGAAGTCATCACTCTTTTAGACTCTGAGCAAGTGACCACATTAGTAATTTTAGTTAGATAGAATATGCTGGAAGATGCCTTTTGTTTCACTGACACTCAAGTTAGTGATGGAGACAGTGATTATTGTGAGCAACATGCCGATACGAGGATACTTTTGTGTCCTGCTGAGTATTCTTGCTCCTCTGTGTCTAGTTTCTCTCTCGTCCATTTGTTGCTTCTCAGTAAAGTATTTAGCAGCTGCTTCAGTGACTTATTGTGGATGTGAAAGTTCCCAGCATTGCGTAGCCTTCTCGCGTTGACCCAATCCCACTCCATTTGCCCATGGAGCCTTCTAAGAAACCCTGTTTCCCTTTCGCTCGTCAAGTTTGTCTTTACACAGTTTTGTAAGTGTTCACAACGCATACAGAGCAGTCTCACCCTCCGCATCCCTACACCCCTCTCTATCCCACCCCCTCCCCGTAACTCTCACTTTCACGCTCACATCTATTGGCTTTATTTTGTGACCCCTGGATATTAAATTAACCAGGTCCCATGAAACAATGAGTTTGGAGGTATCCTTGGTGGCTGGTAGCTCATTAGTGGGTACCCAGTTCAAGGCAGAGATTCCCGGTCTCCCAGGAGGAGGGCCTCGCAGGCTCCTTTACTTTATGTCTTGTTTATTAAGTGGTGAGGTGGCTTTCACAGTGTAGAGTCGACTTTAGCTTAATGTGGTACAGGGGTCTCAGTTACCTCTTCTGTTACCTTTCTGAGAAAACAAACAAACAAATAAACAAAACAAAACAATACTGCTTCCCAAGGTCACACAAGCAGTAACTAACAGAAGGTCAACCAGTCATCACTCACGAGCCACCTTGTGTCCCCCTCACTGGGGCCGTGCAGCAATAAGTATGAAGAGGTTAATGTGTTTTGACACCCATGAAGACATGACTTGTAATGACCACATCTATACATCCTGTCATCGGAGTGTGTGCTCACCATTAAGTAGCTTATTAGTCCTTCAGTGGCAGATGGCAAGGTTTAAAAGCCAGTACTAAAGCAGAGTACACATAATACACAATGAATGGAAAGTCAATTTAGAACGGGTCTTTCAATTTATATTTAACTAGATATGGTTCAACAATGCCAGAAAGGGGACCCCCCTCCTCTGTTTCATTCTAAAGCTAATGCTTTTTAAAAGTTTTTTTTTATGTCTGCCTTCCTTATGAATATTCATTAAAGCCTAAATTATTTTTTCAATACTTTGTAAAAAATTTTAATTGGCATTATTTTTAATGTGAAAACAGCAAAGCTTAAAGATTAGAAACAACGTGTACCCCCCACTCGACACTTGCTCAGTGCTTAGCCACAGCTTTTATGAAGCATGGCTGCCTAAGTCTCCCCCCTCTAAATCCTGAGGATTTACAGCCTTTTCTGCAACTGCAATCTGAATTTTTCCTACTAAGCAAACCCCTGATTCTACTCTGGTACCTGGCAAAGACTGCTTTCTCTAGAGCACCGGGAGGTTCTGGTTAGGTCACTTTCTACTGCACATCCTTGAAGAAGCACTGCGCAGCTGCGAGGCCTCCAAAAGCAGGACATCTCAGACCCAGCTCCTGCTTTCTCACTTACCTTCCCTGTGGTCACCAATGATCTCTTTCAGCCAGCTTCGAGGCCTCCAGATGCAGGACATCTCAGACCCAACTCCTGCTTTCTCACTTACCTTCCCTGTGGTCACCAATGATCTCTTTCAGTTGTTACCAAAAAGAAACATCTAGAGAAATAGAAACACATTTGGAAGTTGTTTTGAGAATTAAAAGAGGAAATTTGGTGTAGTCTTATCTAGGCTGTCAGAAGTGTTATTTTAATTCATAGATAATTGTTCAATAGTCTTGTGTTTATCTGTTTAAAAATGAGTTCTTGCTGGGTATCATGGTACAGGCTGTTAATGCCAGCTAATGGTAGGGTGAGGTAAGAGGTCAGTCTGGGTTACATGAGAGGTTCCAGGGGAAGGGAACTACATGATGAAACCCTGTCCCAAACAAATAGAGAAACCAAAGAGATAAAATTTACATTGAGAAGCCTTCTCATCTGGTTTGGGAGACACATTAATGATGAAGCAATTTGAGAACTGGAAAAATTAGAAGGCATGGCTTCCTGTGTGAGATACTGCCACATCTGTGGGGAAATAATGTGGTTAGAGGAATCCACAATGAGAAAACCAGGGACAGATGGATGCAAAGGGTATGAAATTGGAGCCGTTTTCACAAAATTAAAACAGAAATTTAATAGGTCAAAATGGGTGCACAATCTAGTTTCCCTCCTCATAGAGTACCAGTTGTAACCCTATTCAACTAATGACCTAGGTAAAAGTAAGTACCAAACAATGTGCATTATTTTAATTCCTCAAATATTTTAAATATTTAAAGAGGAATAACCTGCTTTCTCTACATTTTTACTGCTGGCTTAAAAAATTTCCAATCTAAGCCAGGTAGGTGACATATGCCATTTAATCCTAGCTCGAGAAAGACAGAGGCAGGCACATCAATTTGAGTTCACGGCCAGTCTAGTCTACTGAGTGTGATCCAGACCAGCTGGGACTAAACAGTGAGATTCTATCTTTTAAAAATATCATATTTAAAGTACGTAAGGAGCATAGTACGTGTGCCTGGTGGTAGGGGTGGCTCAGTGGGTAAAGCCACTTGCCACCAAACCTGGTGACCTGAGTTTGCTATCTAGAACCCACATGGTGAAAAGAGAGAACTAACTCCAGCCAGTTGTCCTCTGATTTCATACACATGCACACAATGTACATGCATAGAGTCAGAAATAAGAGAAAGAATTGGAAGAAAGGACTTTCATTATGGCCAAACATAAGCTGTATATGTTAACAGTTTACCTGGTTATTGCCTAAGCCTCTGAGTTGCATTTGTTTTTTTATTACATCATTTTAAAATTGTTAAATGTCTTACAATGACTTTAGAAACAAGTATGAAAGAGGAATAGGGAGGGAAAAATATCTTCTAGGCATCCTTATTGAAACACAAGTTGTTATTTGACATCACACATATTTAGCTTTCAGATACATAAAATGACATCTGTGTTTTACTGCAGACATTTGGGGGATCCAATTGCTGAAAACTGTCAGAGACTATATGGGGTTGGCTCTGTCCTTCAGAGAAAAGCAAGCACCTTCAACTTTCGCAAGACAGAAACTCCTTTGTAGGTTCCAACATCATGCCCTGAAATTTTCCAGAAATGAAACAAAAACAAAAACTCTTCCACAGTCATGACTAGTAATACCTCAGGCCTCCCAGCCTTCCCTGAACTTAGCGTTTATATTCTTCATTAGAACAAGTTATGTCTATAATGCTGAGTATTATAGCTTCCTTTCTTTTAAGCCCCTCTGCCATGCCTGTTTGCACGTTAGCTTCTCCCTTGCTCTTTTTTTTTTTTTTTTTTTACTTTTTTACTTTTCATGTTCTGAGCCCAAAAGTACAAGAATTGTTGCTGACTAGAAATTCCATCTGCCTTCCTACCCTCTTCCCTTTCCCCTCCTCCTCTTCCTACCCTCCTCCTCTTCCCTTCCTCCTCTTGCTACCCTCCCTTTCCTTTTCTACCCCTCCTCCTCTTGCTACCTTTCTCTTCCCTGCTCTTCCTCCTCTTTTTCCTCCTCCTCCTTTTCTCCTCCTCATCTATTTCTTCCTCTCCTTCTTTCTTCTCTTCTTTCTTCTTTCTTATCTGATACACTCTGAAGACAAAGCTTTATTCTTTCCTCAAAGTCATCATTCTTACTAATTTTTACTCCATGTTTATAACTAACTTCTAGAGGGATATAATGGTGTTAAAGAAAGCTTGAAATTTTTTTGTCTTTTTTCACTATCTATTTAAAAGTCAAATGAAATGGACATCAGGTTACCTTGACCAGTATCAGGACACTAGCATTTACTCTGAACAATAGTTCACATTATTCAGTATAATTATATGACTATACTATACTTTATTGTTCATGGTGATTTTTTAACCTACAAAAACTTTTTTCCATCTTTTAAATTTAAATTAG